TATGGAGCATGGGATAAATATTTTAATCCTTTAATTTGCCTGAATAATGCCATCTTAGAACCAGATTGTGCTCAGCTCCTGCTGAGGTGTGCAAGGAAGGGAGAGGGAATATTTTCCCCCCTATTTGTATTACTGTACTACCTAGACGTCCCAGCCAAGACTAGGATCCCATTGTGCTAGGTGCTGTACAAACATAGTAAGAGACAGTCCTGGGCCAGCCCCAAACAGTTTACAATCTCAGTAAAAAAGACAGACAAAAGTCAAGGGCAGAAGCGCAGTAGCACAGGTGGGTGAAGTGACTTGCCCTAGGTCACAGCAGACCAATAGCAAAGTCAGGAATAAAATCCAAATCTTCTGAGCCTCAATCTAGTGCTGTATCCACTGCCTCCCTACTCCTGTTCTTGCACCTGCTGCTCAGGGACAGGCACCAATCGAGTCCTTGCACTCAGGAAGCAAAAGAGCCCCATAAGGCTAGCGCTGCTACCCCCTGTAGGGACCAGATCTAAAGTAATTGACGTAAATAGAAGTCTTTCCATTAACTTCCAGGGGCTCTGGATTAGTCCCTAAGGGGGAAAAGAAGGAGGTGGAGGGGGACACAGTAGCTATATTCTCTGGGAGCTCTTGGACACATTATATTATTCTGTATTACCATAGCACCTAGGAGTCCTGGTCATGTATCAGGACCATGTTGTGCTAGGTGCTGTACAGACACAAAACAAAGTTCTTACCCAAAAGACCTTACAATCTAGGTATAAGGTAAGAGATGAATACTGACAGACAGGGGAGTACAAGGAAACAATACAGGGTACATGGCAATATATCATGTAATCCTTACAGATTTATAGGGCAGAAGTAGATCACAAACACGGTGTCATCACAGACACAAACACAAATTTAAACTTTTCAAAACAGTGATGATAAAATAGCTGCAGTTTAAGACAATGAGGCTCTCTGAGGGAAATGAGTGGGACTACTCCCATGTCTAAGGCCTAGTCTTCACTTACCGGCTGGTCCGGCGGCACGCCATCGATGTTCTGGGATCGATTTATCGCGTCTGGTTAAGACGCGATAAATCGATCCCGGAAGTGCTCACAGTCGGCGCCGGTACTCCAGCTCGCCGAGAGGAGTACGCGGCGTCGACGGGGGGAGACTTCCGGCCGCGTCTGGACCGCGGTAAGTTCGGACTAAGGTACTTCGAATTCAGCTACGTTATTAACGTAGCTGAATTTGCGTACCTTAGTCCGAAGTCCGGACTAAGTGGGGACCAGGCCTAAGTGCTTTCCTGGATTGGGGACAGAGGAATCACCACCTTGCAGGACTAAGCGTTAAAGCTGCCACAATGTTTTCAAGAAATAATGTGGGAGAAGTAATATCTTCTAGTGGCCCAACTTCTGTTGGTGAGAGAGACAAGCTTTCAAGCCACACACAGCTCTTCTTCAGGTCTGGGAAAGAAGAAGAAGAGCTCTGTGTGGCTCAAAAGCTCATCTCTCTCACCAATAGAAATTGGGCCAATAGAAGATATCACCTCACCCACCTGATCTCTCTAATATCGTGGGACTGACACAGTTACAACTACACTGCATACAACAGTGGTTTCAATTCAGGCATCACAGCAGTGTTTCACAGGGAGTAAGTCTTTGCAGAATTTGGCCAACTCTGTATGTGCAGCTGTAGTCATGCTTCTCAGAGAGTGGCTCCTCTAGCGTCTAGGAGTGGAGTTGCAGGGATTCTGTCAGTCTAGCACCTTTTTATTTGTTCTGGTGCCACAACAGACTGTTAGTGTATGTGGCCTAACCCCCCAACGAGGTCACTGCTCAATGCATTCCCCTTTCGGAGGTTAAAAAGGGAACACAAAATCTAAAGGCCTTCAAGCCCATCTCCATCTGGCACTTGCCGCTCTGGGATTGCTTTATTCTCAACACCCATGCATCCCCTCTTAGTCTGGGGGAGCAGTAGGGAAACCCAGGCCCACCCTCTCCTCTGTTTTTTTGCCCAGGGACCCTGTTTAGGCACCTAAGAGCCATTCCTCCAATCCCACCACCATTTTCCCTGGGCTGCTCGTATCTTTACCTCACTCATCAGCATCTTCACAAGATCTGCAGACTCTGTTGCCTCCATCTTGATTTTGTGGTTCCTCACAGCTTCTCCTAAAACCAGCTACGGAGGCATTTCTTAAGAGCCAGTCTCAGCTCTTCCCCACAGCAGCTGGATTGTACTGCTACAAGCTTTCTTTGCCTCTATCCTTAAAACGATCAGCATTTCTCTCCTTTAAACAGGAGTTCTCCCTCAGCCCTTTTCCTGGGACTGAGGTTGTATCCTAAGCCCCTTGACTTCTTAAAGTAACCAGTATTTCCCTCCTTTGAACAGCAGTTCCTCCCTCAGCTCTCTCTCTGGGGCTGGGGTTGTGTCTCAGGCCTCTTTACCTTAGGTACTAGTCATCTTCCCATCCCTCAAGCAGGCACTCCCCTCAGCCCTCTTTCTGGAGCTGGGGTTTGTGTCTATGGCCTCTTTCCTACCTGCAAAGCTTTTTGCCAGCTCCCTTCACCTGAACACCCTCTCCAATTAGTCTTCCAATCTGGGGATTTCAGTAGACTAGTCTTCTCCTGTCAGTGCCTCTCTGGTTTGAGGGAGGAGGCAGCATTTATACTGGTCCCCTTCTCACACCTCCTTCCCAGTTGATGGGATGAAAGGGGAGCATTGCCTGGCCTCCCTGCAAGAATCACCATCTGTTCCCAGGACCCTTAAGTCTCTATATCTGGACCCTTCCAAACCCTTAACAGTTGAGGCCAGGTGACAGGATTGGCTAACCACTAGGTTCTACTGCCCTCCATGGCAGCCTACCCTCTCACAGTAATGTTATAACTGCTGATGATAGGACAGGCCCAGTGAAGGATAAATATGTTATACAACAGTGAGAGTTAAGACACTCAACTCATATTTTCTTGCTACTATAGGCATGTGTGCCATCCTCAATTTATTTTAACATCGTTATTTATATTTCATTTTACAGTAGGTCTGTATTTGTTGGTATTCATTCATTTCATAATTGATTTGGGGTATGATTAAAATACAGGTTTACTTATTTGAAGATGACACTTCATATACCAAGCGCAGTTAATTCAATTCATACTTCATAGCATTGCAAAGTTGTTTCATTATGTACATGAAGGGTGTGATCTCACACCACTGAAATCAATAGGAAGTTGCTATAGACTTCAATGAGAGCAGGGTCGATGGGCCTACAAAGTTGCAATTTTTAATGCAGTTGCTATTTTTGTTGTTTTAATTTCCTTCTTGTTACCATAATACTCTTTTTTTTCTTCTGGAGTCTTGAGAAAGGCCCCCTCAGACTTTGGGTTATGGTGACTCATCTTTGGCAAGAATGGTTGGCACCAACCAGTGCAACTCCTGGATCAAGTAGAGAGACCATTATCATGTGAAATCATGTGTTTTCTTTTTTAACCCTTGATCCCGCAAACACTAATGCACACGTTTAACTTTTCTACCCTCGTTTGTTCCACAATGTCAGTTGTCTGCGTATTAAAGTTAAGCATGTGCGTATTTTCAGGAGTGGGACCCAAGCAACGGAGCATGCAGCATTCACAGGGTTGTCACTCTTTGTTAGCTTGGAGAGACTGAATCTAGGAACAAAACTCCAGTCCTCAGAATACTAACCACAGTGCCACAGATACTTTTCATTAGGTGATTTACAAACACTGGAAATAACCCAATCTAACCATATCTGGCTAACCCAAAATAACTTATTCTGACCTTGAACTCTAATTAGAATTCTTCTGCCATGCAAAAAAACTGGCTTTTGGTCCTCAGAGTGATGTAGGTTAGAAGTTCTATGGAAGCACTTTACGCAGCTCACCAACAATGTGACTCATTGCCAAACAGCATCATCTCCAACCAATTAAAAAGCAGTATTAACTGGTTATAATAGGAGTCATATGTGTTGTTTCTGGGCCTGATATATGGTATCCAGGCTGTAGGGCCTGTAAGGTGTGAAGGTGTAATAAAGAGACTCACTGCTCCACCAGAAACAGGAAGAACACATAACAGCCCAGAAAAGGAAAAAATCTATCAGTAGATTTGTACCTGATCTAAAATGACAAAATATTATTGCCTGAAAGGGAGAAATGTTGGTTAAGTACAGTCGTTCCTAGAGAGGTGTGTATGAACTTGGTTGTGGGATTTCCCTTTGCTCTCCCAGAGATTGGTTGGGTGGTTGGTTTGTTTAATGCTTCAAAGAGCCATTTATGGAGCCAGTGTTATGTGAGATATGGTCTCCTCGGGTATTTCTTTTTGGGGGGAAGGTGAAAGTACCACAGGAAGACCAGATCATGCATTATTTTGGCCACATGACGAGTTCCCAGACGTGTAAAAAGCCCACATAAACCAACAATACCAAGACTCTTGGGTTTATCTAATTCCCATGGAAACTGTGTGTATTGCTCTAATTCTTAAACTTATTTTTATTCTATTAAAAGTAAAAAAAATCCATATACTCTTTCCTACACTCCCTTCCACATGATAATGGGATTGGTGCTCACCATAATTGTTTGGTATTTGCAGCATGGATGGGGGGGAAGGGGAGAGATGTGCAGGAGCTGGAGGTCATAAATAAACTTCTTGTCATGTGAATTATCTGAATTGTGAAATATTCTATGTAACTGTTGTCTTGAAATAATAATGAAACATTTATTTTAAGATCTATGAAGTAATTTTAAAAAATTGGCTCTGTTTCAATTACGTGTGCCCCAGCAATTTATTGATAATCACACAGCTAAAAAACACCCCACATCCTCTTGATTATTTCTCCCTATATGCAGATCTGCTTTTAAAATGGAAAAGCGTACATAAATGCACCTTGTTCTTCAGATTTAACCTATCAGAGCTTAATTGAGCTGGTTTTAACAACATTACATTGGACTCCAACTGTAGCAGACAGTCCTTCAAAGGCTGACAAGTATTTCATGGTTTTTTTTTCTTTTCAGCTGACCCCCTGGTTGGAAGTATTGCCACTCAGTATATGACTAACAGAGCAGAGCATGACAGAATGGCAAGACAGTGGACCAAGAGATATGCTACATAGGAATCTACTATAGAACATGCTGGACCTGTGCAAGCACATTCACTAAGTGCATCAATAGCCCTTCTCTCCCCTTTGTTCTTATTTTTTATTAAATTTTGAACAATTTTGTGACAAAAGGTTCCTTCCTTCCTTCCTTTCTGTTTTTATTTGTATTTGGTTCTTTGTTTGTTTGTTTTGGTTTTGGTTTTCATTCTGTTAACTTGAAAGTTGCTTCCCTCAAATGTAGACAGGGAATTTTGGTTATCAGTGCAAAGAATGTTGGATCTGTAATAGTATAGAGCTTTGTCCCAAAGCTTTGTATTGATGTGTGGTTTTTTTCCTTTCATGTGGTCTTTGGGAAAACAAACAAATTCAGAATTATATCTCGTTTCTACTTAAATGTAGTGTTTAGGGTTATTTTTTTGTACTGAAGTCTTTAATGGTGGGTGCATGCTACTGGGAACAAGTTTTGTATAAAAGCTTAAAATCAAGAATCACTGTGCATTACTAAGACTGTGTTTATCACTAGCCTTCTGTTTCCCACACAGAAGGCTATTGGGTTGAACAAAATAATATGTATTTTGATTTACTTTAAAAAAAAAAGTGCTTGTAAATTTCTTAGGGACCTGCCACTTTTGACTGTGGATCAGTTGATGTACACTTGTATTATTAAAGCACTCAATAAAACACTGTGGCTGATAAATGCACTTTTTGTAAGACAGTGCTTTTGCTTTTTGTAGAGTGTAAATGGTACAGCTCTGCATGCAATTAAACTTGCATAATACCATTGCAAGTTAAGCCATTATGTTTAGTCCTGAACTTTTAATTTCTCCTTGACAATACGTTTCTTAACATGTAGAATTTCTCAATAAAATCTAGCTTCAATATAAGCTTTTTTTTAATGTAGTAAAAAAAGCTACCCTCTTACTTACTGGTGCCCAGCTACCCTGAAACCTCCTATATATCTTCTTTTCTACATCCATCTTGATGGTAATAGTTAAAACAGCTGGTTACAAAAATAGCCCCACAATGAAAGTAGATTATGGGCTGACGATTTTGTTCAGCAGGGCTCGTTTTTCCTTTCCCCGGGCTCTTGTAATTGTAAAAGCAACTGTTATTTTAAAAAAATTAAATCAAGGTTTTCAACAGCAAAATTGAGCCCACTGCACCAATCATTCCCAGCACGTCCCATGGCAAGGGTATTTCTATTCAGATTTGACCTTCAGGCTAATTTTAGGTATGCAGCCATAGAAGGAAAACTTCTACTCAGCTAAGGAAACGTGTGGGTGTTGTGATTTGGAAAATATATACTTTGATGCTGATTCTAAACGCTCTTTGTGTTACAAAGGCATCCTGGAAAATCCCTGTCTCCTTAATTAAACATTACAGATGCTGCATGCAGCACGCTTTCTCTCTCCTATGAAACAACTGTTAAAGTTTTGTGAGCTCAGTATCTACATTTATCAGACACTAATATTGTCTGAGAGTCTGGTAGTCTCAGAGCTCATAGCTATATTGCCAGGATGGGGGTCAGTTGATAGGGGGAGAAAAGTGGGTTGTATCAAATGACCTAACTATTATATGTTTAATAAATAGTATGAAATTGTATATTAACAAGTATTTGTGTGTAGTGGAAAGGTATATTATCAGATTTTTAAATTGAAATGTCACGTTTTTTAAATTAAAAAGCCTGCATTGTTTTCTGTCCTGCTTTAATATTTATTGTACATTCATCCACCTTTTGTTAATGTTTAAAAAAAATTCCCTAAATCCATTTACAGTTTAAATCTATTATTAGAGAACTACAAAGCATAATCAAGATGTACTGTACCGTGTCAAAGAAATCTAATCTGTCAGAGCCATGGAAATATTTATATACTTATACCTTTATGATAATTTGGCTACTGGTAGGTCTAAAGAAATAATCTCAATCTGTTCTATTTTGTAATATATGTCTGAGACCTTGAAACATTGTAGATTCACCACTGTGTGTGTTTGGCATTTTATCTGTTTAAAATAAATATAAGTGTGGTTTTGAATAACATTAGGCAAAAGCTTCCTAATTTTAAGAAAAGTAGACTGGTCTACTGGAGTAGTCTGTTACTACCTGGACTTGCTAGTCTAGAAAATATTCATTCTCTGTGGTTGTTTTCTCCACAACTCTTTTCTTTTAATTTAACTGAAAAAAGGGAAAAAGTTCACAAACAAAAAAATTACATTATCCACTCGCCTGCTGCTAATATTCCAGGTCAATGTAAAGTCCTGGATATAACAGCTACGTCTTAGTTTTAATGTCATTGGAATCCTGATGACAGGAGAATAGGAGGTTGCAGTCAAGCCTCAAGAGGAAAAGGACTAAGAGGAAATAATTATGGAGGTAGCACTTTGCACTAGGGATATTAATCCACTCGTGCAATGTCTCCAGTCATCTATGCACCCTGCGTTATCTTTATTGGGGCAGAGTGAAAATCTACTGGTTGGAATTTGCAAGAGTTTCAGCACAAGTCTTCATCTCTCCAAAATCTTGCTTGCAGTTCAGGTTCATCCATACCCCCAAAAAATATCAAACTGAAGGTTTTGTATGAAGCCACGTGAACCTAGCAAAGTTAGTTTTGTTACATAGTCAACAAAACTCACTGTTTTTTCCTCTGCTACCTCTCAAGCATGGGATGAGCTCCCCATAAACATATTCAAGGACTCCTCGTTGTTCTCCTTTCAGGTCTTTCTATAAAACTCTCCTCTGATATGATCCCTAAATAATGGTGCTATTGGGCTGGGACCACTTTTTTTCGTGCAGACCAGTTTTTGTTACCTTGTGTCTGTTTAATGTTCCTATCTGTTGTCTCTTGTTTTATAGTTAGATTATAAACTCCTTGGGGAAAGGATTGTGTATATTTGTACAGTGCCCAGCATAGTGACTGGGGCCACTACGTGCTACTCCAATAATCATTTTCCCTAAAACCCCAGCCCTTTTCTTTCTATGGGGAAAGCCAACTGACCTTTCCTTCTCATCTCTGTTTATTAGGGGTGGCCAGTTGATAGGTACCATCTCCCTTCCTCTAATTCCTCAAAATGTATCTTCTGAGGAACTGGCCGTCTATCTAATCTGCCACTCAGCAGCAGTAGGACCTGCAAAGGAATCCTCCTTGCCCTTCTGTTACTGCTGCTTGATTGCTCTCTGGATATCAGATGCTAGAGAGTGCACTATAGGATCAAGAAATCTCTGACATCTAACCAGCCAACACCTGAAAACAACAGAGGTGAGCAGAATAGAAGAGTACCATCCTCCCTCATCCCAGAAGAAAGTAGCATGGTGAGGGGAGGATCCCGGCCAAGCAAAAGCAAAATACCAAACCAGGAAGAACTAATCTGATTTTGATTTTTAAGTGTAGCCAGAAACCTCCCCCACTTTAGCTAGATCTCAGAAAACCTTTAGGCATCTTTGGTGTATTTCAGCTTCATAGTGTAACTTAAAAACAGGTGAATTTTTCTAGGATTTATGAAATCTTATAACCAAGGGGCATTCAGCTGCTGGTTCTTCAGCTCTTAACTCCAGTGTGTACTGCAACTTAATAGAGAGATTGCTTTGCAGACCACCTCCCCCATTTCTCTTGGGAGTTGCATAACATCCCCATGGCAACTATGGTAATTACTGACATTGAAAAGCAATATTAGGAAAATATTTATGTATCTTTTGCTGTTTTTGGTGTGACAAATACTTTGTTCTTTTTGAAATAAATTAGTCACGCTGTCTACTTTAGCTCTTCATTTCACTTCCTCATTCCATCTGGTCTGTTTCTCTTCGCTGTAAACAAGGAGGAGAGCCGACACCCTGGAACCAGCCAGTTCTCCACATCTCACCAGCCAAGTGCGCTGTGGAGCTCAAGTGGTCCATAGAGCACAGCTTGGGAACCTTCACTCCGCACAGTAGCAATTCCAGAGGTGTCGTCCTCATGCCAGATATACCATTAAAAGTATAGAAAAAACACAGATAGTTTCTTTTTTCAGGAGCCTGGCAAATGAGCAGAAAATGACTGTAAAGTGAGCATAGGGAACATGTGCACTTGTCCCAGACATATTTTTTTGTCTTCAAAGGACCAGGGCCGGCTCCAGGCACCAGCTGAGCAAGCTGGTGCTTGGGGCGGCAGATTGTTCGAGGCGGCATTCTGCCCAATCCTAGGGCAGCACGGCTGCTTTTTTTTTTTGTTCTTGTTCCGCTCCGGCCACCCTGTAGGGGGCGGCGGTGCAGAGAACCAGAGTGCCCTGCAGGTCAGTCCTCTTCCTTCCCTCCCCGCCGACCGGAGCGGAGCCCTCCCCCCTCCCTCCTCCCCCGCCAAGCCGGCTGCACCGCAGGGTTTTTTTTTTTTGCTTTGCCGTTCTGGCCGCCCCGTGTTTTTTGTTTTTTTTTGCTTGGGGTGGCCAAAAAGCCAGAGCCGGCCCTGCAAAGGGTCATAGTAAATCAGACCCATGCTGATTGTATTTTAAAGGATAATTTTGGCTTCCATTAATATTTTTAATGAAATATATCTCCCTTCCCTAGTATGTCATTCAAAACCACCATAACATTGCCTAAAATTGTCTAAATATATACTTGCTCTCTAGACTGTAGCAGTTCTAAAGTTAGATAACTTTTAACAATGGCTGTTATTTGGCAGAATGACATTAATGCAAAGAAAATCCTGCAACATGGTCCCAATCCTGCAATGAGTTGTATGAAGACAAATGCTTATCCCCAGGTAAAACCTCACTGAAGTTGTTCGAGCTGGGTGTGAGTGCAGGGGTCTGCCTACATGCATTTCATTGCAGAATCAGGGGTTAAATCTGTAATTGGCTTCCTCTGAGACATTTTTATATGATATGTCAGTAGTCTGGAGATGTTGTTAAAATTACTCCTGTCAATAAAAAGTGGACAAGAGTAATTACCTAGAGGGCTTTGAATTCTCTGGCATTTATTTTAGAGGAGCCTTAGAAATGTGGCCCTCATATGACATAGTAATTTCAAACAATACAGAAAAAAGTAGGCAGTAAAGGTCCAATAGTAGTTGACAATGAAGCATTTACTAATTTTAGAAAAGGACGGAAACCAGTGGAGAGAGACTGGAAACAGCAAAAGCATCAGTAGAAATGTTAACATTTGTGAATCCCAATAGAAGTATATTAAATTCACCTATATCGATACAATAAATAGCAACAGTCACCATACAGTCACAAACAAGCTGAAACAAAAATAAAGGGCTGTCCACTATGGAGCCAACTCCCGTGCAGCACTACACAGCACGTTAGTAAAATATGTAATAGCACCTTCACTTCCATCAGATGCATGGAGCTGTGACCTAGTGAGGCCCTAATCCTGCAAATATTTACATCCACGAGTAACTTCATGCACTTGAATAGCTCCATTGAGTTAGTAAGGAAAAAAGTTATTAAAATGTTAGTTTCCCATAGACAAGAGCTAAGTCATAGAAGTTATTCCACTGGCTAATTGGTAAACCCTGCAGCTCCTCCTAGTTAAAAGGCAGCTAAACTATTTTTTGAAAAGTTTGGAAGAAATAAAAATGTCACTTCCTGAGCTCTTCAATGCCAAACGCCTGCCCTTTAAGTGCCTCCTCCCACAAATGATCCCTCATCTCCTGCCTCACAGCCCTTCAACAAGTGTCCACACCTCAGCACCACCCTCTATCCAAGAGTTTGGGTAAGAGCCAC